CTGCCTCAGCCTCCCAAGTAGCTGGGACTACAGGTGCCCACCACAACGCCTGGCCATTTTTTGGTTTCAGCCATCATTGTTGTTTGGCGGGCCTGGGCTGGGGATTCGAACCCGCCACCTTAGGTATATGTGGCTGGCGCCCTAGCCGCTTGAGCCCCAGGCACCGAGCCCTTTTGTTTTCTCTTAACCTATTTTTTATTTGTTTTCTTCAGGGAGGGGCCTACTCCCTACTGACTTCTTTAGCAGTAGCCCCAAAGGTTAAGAAAGTAATGACAGGGTGTGGCCACTGGCCCTAGGGAGACAGGAGGGATCAGGATAACATTCCCCCTCGGATGAACTGTCTGGTCCATTCATTTACTCAAAAGTTCCAGAACACATAGCAGTCCCAGGCACTGGTCATGGCACCTGCAGGACACTTCAGTTGGCAAAAGGTTCTCCCCTAGGCACTTGTGCCCCAGAAGAAAATGGGATCTGGGTGGTGCTGAGAGCCACTCCACTGAGGTCCTGGGCACCTCCTCGGCCACCCTCCCCAGCCCAGTGGATCAACTCTAAGCCTCACCCAGAAACGCAATTGAATCTTTAGAGGACAGCAACAGTGTGAATATCTTATATCAAGCACTTCTGACGCTTAGTATGTGGAGCTTTCCTCACAACCACCACACCGATTCTTCAACTCTCCAGACACCAACATGGTGTCCTACAGTTAAATTCAATTCTGACACTACTAGAGTTAAGAGTTAGCTCCCTAAGGTTAAGGGCTCAGTTCCACAGATGTCCTCACTTCAGACACCAATCACAAGTCCAGGTCTCCTGTACTTCTGACCAATCACCTATAAGTAAGGGGGCTCTCACACCCTCTCCTCTGGTCTGATAATATGCCAGAATGGCTCACGGGACTCAGGAAGACACTTTACTTACATTTAGTGGTGTATCATAAAGGATACAACTCAGGAAGCGGCAAATGAGAGATACATACAGCAAGATCCGAGGCAGAAGGGACAGTGTGGAGCTCCTTAAGCGCTGGGGGCTTCTAGGACCTTGACCTGTTCACTAACCTAGAAGCTCTCAGAATCCTTTTGTTCAGGGGGTTTTATGGAGGCGCCACTGCCTAGGCATGACTGGTTAAATGACTGGTCACTGGTGATTAGCGCAATCTCCCCTACCCCTACCCGAGTGGAAGCTGAAAGTTCCAACCTCTAATCAAGTGGTTGGTTCCCAGGCAACCAGCCCCCATCCTGAATCCATTTAGGGGCCCGTCAAGAGTCACCTTATTAGCATCAATGTAGGTATGCTAGAAAGAGACTTGCCCCAATCACTTAGATATTTCAGAGCTCTGAGCAGGGAACCAGAGACAAAGACCAAAGATATATTTCTTCTTATATCACAAAATTGCAGGGTAATATCTGGAGAATGTTTGGCAATAAATTGCCTAGGAGTGAAAGCAGTCTGAAACTCATTTCCATTTCTTGGAGTTCATCTCACTGCAATCATAATGATTAAAGTCAAGTCTGGTTCAGAGAGGAGAGGTATCCCTAATTACGCAGCCTTTGAAACACTCACCGGTTTTTGGAGTCGTCCAGCAACATACAAGTTATTCCAGTTGAGGAGATCTTCAATCAGGATACTGGTGCTAATAACCCCATATTTGATAAGCTATAAAAGAAATGGACACAGGAAAGAGTAAAACACTATGTTGTTGCTTACGTAAGTATAAAATAAAATAGATCAAGTCCTTGATTTCCAAAGGTGCTCAAGATGCCTACCTTGTGTAAACACACATCTCAACCAAAATCTTTCAGCGGTTTTGTGCCCAAGACTGATCTGGCCTCTCAGGTATGTGAGGTGACCACTATGTTGACCTTGGTCTGTGTCATGTTAAAGGTGGACTAGCTCTTAGGTGCTATCTAGTAGTGGTCTTTCACGAATTGGATATACAAAACTGGTCCTTCCCCACAGACAGCTTGAGAAGAAATAATGTAGCTCATGCTTCTCATTCGAGAAATAAAATACTTGAGGCCTAGAAGAATAAATGACCCATCCAAGGTGGCACCCACAGTAACAAGAGTCAAAGTAGGTCCCAGAATTTCAGTCTGGTTTTCCAATGTTCTTTTTATTACAAAGTATGATAAATTTTCTTTAATTGAAAGTTTTCACTGATGTCCTTTTACAAAGCGAATTTCTCTTTTCCTATTGACTATTTCAAACACTTTTATAATTACAAAGCAACACACACAAATAAAACTTCTTTATCAGTGCTAAATGGATGAAATTATGGTCAAGTTCAAACATAATTTGTACAGACCCTAAATGTGGATTTCCCAAATCACCAAGTCCAATTTGTGTCAACAAGTACCTACAGACTGACTTTGCTGAACCTCAGTATCTAACAAACAGCATTCTCAGGCTGCAAATAAAGTTACTAAAAATTTTCAATTAAAAAGTATAGTTCTTTAGCATATAATTATGCCCATACATCTGGTTACTGAAGCTTGTAATACTGTTGGAAAACTAATTAGAGATAGGTTGGACATAATATTATTTATGGAGAAAGAACAAAGTTATGTGTTTTGCATGACTGAAGTGGAAGGCTGTGCAAAATAACCACCTTCCTCCCTCCACTCTGAGGGCAGACCTGCAGAAAGCCCATCTAGCTGCAAAGAAGTAACAGTTGGGGCTCGGTGCCTGTGGCTCAAGTGGCTAAGGCGCCAGCCATATACATCTAAGGTGGCAGGTTCAAATCTGCCTGGGCTCATCAAACAACAATGATGGCTGCAACCAAAAAAAACAGCTAGGTGTTGTGGCAGCGCCTGTGGTCCCAGCTACTTGGGAGGCTGAGGCAGGAGACTTGCTTGAGCCCAGGAGTTGGAGGCTACTGTGAGCTGTGATGCCACATCACTCTACCCAGGGAGACAGCTTGAGGCTCTGTCTCCAGAAAAAAAAATAACAGCTGGGAGGTAATGGAAATACTAATGGCCTGGAAATCATTTCCTCTCTGAACCCTGGTTTCCTCATCTGCAAAATGTATGTGAAGCTGCACTGGACCTCGACCGGAAAAGTAAATCTCCAGCCCACAGGATATGCAGATATCACCATCAATCACAGTATTTATTCTTTAGCCAAGTTTAAAGAGGTATTCAAATCCTTCTCCAGGGGCAGCGCCTGTGGCTCAAAGGAGTAAGGCACTAGCCCCAGATGCTGGAGGTGGCGGGTTCAAGCCCAGCCACAGCCAAAAACTGCCAAAAAAAAAAAAAAATCCTTCTGAAGTCAGTACTCCAACTCCTACCCTTTAAAGTCTGATCCTTTCACTAGTAGCATGAGTATCACCTGTGAGCTTGTAAAAAATACAGAATCAAGGGCGGTGCCTGTGGCTCAGTGAGTAGGGTGCCGGCCCCATATACCTAGGGTGGTGGGTTCAAACCTGTCCCTGGCCAAACAGCAACAAAAAAATAGCCAGGCATTGTGGCAGGTGCCTGTAGTCCCAGCTACTTGGGAGGCTGAGGCAAGAGAATCGCTTAAGCCCAGGAGTTGGTGGTTGCTGTGAGCTGTGACGTCACAGCACTCTACCAAGGGCAATAAAGTGAGACTCTGTCTCTAAAACAAAACACAACAAAAAAACTACAGAATCAGGGGTGGCGTCTGTGGCTCAAAGGAGTAGGGCGCTGGCCCCATGTACCAGAGGTGGTAGGTTCAAACCCAGCCCTGATCAAAAACTGCAAAAACAAAACAAAACAAAATAGAATCAAGCTGACCGACGAAGAGAAAAGAGGAAAAATAAAAGAAGACAGAATCTCAGTTTCCATCCCAGACAAACTGAATCAGAAACTGCATTTCAGCAAGATCCTCTGCTGATTCCCATGCTAGTTAAAGTCTAATAGCTCTAGGCTTGGCGCCTATAGCTCAGTGGCTAGGGTGCTGGCCACAAACACCGAGGCAGGTGGGTCAGAACCCAGACCAGGCCTGCTAAACAACAATGACAACTGTAACAAAAAAAATAGCCAGGCATTGTGGCCGGCACCTGTAGTCCCAGCTACTTGGGAGGCTGAGGTAAGAGAATTTCTTAAGCCCAAGAGTTTAAGGTTGCTGTGAGTTGTGATGCCACAGCACTCTACTGAGGACAACATAGTGAGACCTCGTCTCTAAAAAAAAAAAAAGAGAAAAGTCCAACAGCTCTATGCAATCAACAGCAGAGTTGCCATAGCAGGTAAAATCCATAAATCCATACATCACCCCAGCCCAGCTAATCTCTAGGATGCATTTGATTTAGACCTCTCATCGGTCCTCCTAGGCTGGGGTCCTGCCTAGCCCTTGGTAACCCTCTTAAGAGATTGAAGTGCTTTCTCTGAACAACAGTTGAGCTGGGTTTTTGCTGTCGGACATCCATCTGTGGGGATCCATGCACCTTACCTGTTCTCCAACACCCACTGTCAAATTCCACCTGCAGGCACCAAGAGGTTCCCGTCTATCACTTGGCCCACAAGCTCCCAGACACTGTGACACTTTCTTTACCTCCTTCTCCCTGTGGGTATCTGTTCCTCCTTCTAGATAAGATTAATCTCCACCCCAACCTTAAACTGGTCGGCCTACTCCTTCCACTGACCAAACCAATGGTTCTCAAAGTGTGGCTCCCAGAGTAGCAGCTTCAACTTCTTTTTTGAGACAAAGTCTGAAGCTATTGCCCTGGGTAGAGTCCTGTGGTGTCACAGTTCACAGCAACCTCTAACTCTTGGACTTAAGCGATTCTCTTGCCTCAGTCTCCCAAGTAGCTGGGACTACAGGTGCCTGCCACAACACCCAGCTATTTTTTCGTTGCAGTTGTCATTGTTGTTTAGCAGGCCTGGGCTGGGTTGAACCACCAGCCCAGCCCTATGGGGTGCCAATCCCAGCGTCAACATTTGAAAGCTTCTTAGAAATGCAAATTCCCAAGCCCCAGCCCAGACCCAGTGAATCAGAACCCTGGGGATGGGGCTTGCGAAGCAATCTGTGTGTGCAACAGGCATGAATTCCAGAAGATTTTGATCCATATTAAAACTTGAGAACCAACTGACCAAAGGCAAAAAATAAAATCAGTCACACCCAATCGCCTTCTCACACTGAAATCACAGTCAAGGGGAAATGAAGACTCTTGCTCTGTCTCTGGGTTCAAGACAGCCAGCAGACATGTGAAAATTTCCTGACTGTGAGGATATACATATTTAGTACATGGTATGGTATTCTAATAACGAAGGTTAATAACCACCCAAGTTAAGACAAAGGCCTGAAGTCACTTACCCTACCATCACACATGACCAGTGAATTGTAGTAAACACCAGCACCATAGTTATTCTGGATGGATGTGATAATCCCGGGCCCCAAAAATTTTAGTAAAGAGTAGTGGCTCCTATTTTTCTTAAGGTTCTTTGAATGCCATCCAACAGGGTCATCAACTGTGAACACAAAGTCCATCATGGCATTCTGTAAGGTGAAGAAAAGGGAATGGTTTCAGTATTAATTCCTAGATAGGCAACTATATAGAGTAAAATGCTCTAAAATACTTAGCTACTGATAGTCAGAAGACCTAATGTTGTCCTCAGAAACTTATGTGTGTCCCTGAAACCAAAGTGAGCTTTGTTTTCATCAATAATAGTAAATACTTATTTAACGGGTATCAGCACTCTTCCAAACACTTCATACATTATATACAGTAACTTGTTTTATCTTTAAAATAACCCTGCAAGGTAGCTACTGATATTATTCCAATTTTATAGGGACGATAACCAAGTCACAGGGTTAAGCTTTTTGCACAAGGACCCAGAACTAACGAGTGGCAGACCTAAGTCTAGCTTCAAATTCTACATGCTGAACCACTACACTATACTGCCTTTTAAAGAAATGTGGCTAATTCTACTCCATTTCCCTTCCAGATCATATTAACACCATATGGATAAACTCTATAAAGTATTATGTAAAGAGAAATAAGTTATCTTAACTCTCACCCATTCACCAACCACTCACTGAATACCTACCATGAGCCCTGATAGGTCTTAGGGTAAAAAGCTCAGAGTCCACTGGGAAGAACAGACAAGTTATTACTAAATTAACTTGACAGAGGAATGTAAAATGTACTAACTTCACTCAGGATGGAGGCTGGTCAGGAGAACAGCAAAGAGAAATGTGAGCCTTGAAGAAAGAGACAGTTTAACAGGCCTGGTGGCGGGAGAGGGGGCTACACAGAGAAGGTAACTAGGTCACCTTACAGGAAACTGCTCCTGCGGATATGAAAGCCCAGCATGTTCTGGGAGCTGCAGTTTGATAGGACTAGAACAGAATATATTTATATGGCAGGAGATGAGCATTGACTGTAGGCAGGAGAGACTAAGGGTGAGGAAAATCAGATACAAAGCTGCTGCAAGATTTCAGGTGAGAAATGAAAACATTTAGCTAAGGCACTGAGGGTAGGAACTGCTCTGAGAGAGATTTAGATGTGAGAAATCTATAGGGTGTTAACTTGAACACAGGGAATGAGAGTGAGGGAAAGAGAAGGACTTTCGCTGGGAGGGAATTCAGATCTGTTCAAAGGAAAAACAAAGAAGTAACTCTCAGGAGGCCAAAGCTTGCTCTGTGTTTCCCACGGTGTGACTCACAAACTACTGTTGATACTTAAGATTTAGGGGGGAAGGAGACAGATAAACATGTTTTTTAAAAAGCTTGTGATTATGTTAATGTACATTAGAAAAATGACTAGCTTATAACCTATAATTTCTCACATGCTGCCAAGTTAAAGAAAAAAATTAATAGTCCAGGTGGGAAACAGGAAGTTGAAGCAACAGTATAGATCAGCCTCACTGGGAAGTGAACAGGCAAATTTTTAACCAGAAGACAGATTACAGTCAAGTGTCCAGAGGAGAAGGCCCTATTGCAATCTGCACCCCGAATTCTGCATCTCACAAAGAAAACTGTATCCTTCCGGCTGTAGTGCTCAGCCAATTCTTGTGACAATGCCTAGTCCCAGGCCAGGTGTGGTAGCTCACACCTGAAAATCCTAGCACTCTGGGAGGCTGAGGTGGGAGGATCCCTTGAGATCAGGAGTTGGAGAACTTGTCTCTACTAAAAACAGAAAAATCAGCCGGATGTTGTGGCAGCCTGTAATCCCAGCTATTTGGGAGGCTGAGGCAGGAGGATCACTTGAAACCAGGAGTTTGAGGTTGCTGTTGAATTAGGCTGACACCACGGAATTCTAGTTTGGGCAACAGAGTGAGAGTTTGTCTCAAAAAAAGAAAGAAAAGAAAAGGAAAAAAGCCTAGTCCCAAACAGACCCTGGCTAAATGAGCTAAGCATGGGTAAATAAACTGGTCATCCATTTATTGCACCTGCCCTGGCCCTACACTGGTCTGTAGCTTCCTGAAGTCAGATGATCACTCTGTATTTTCTCCTACAGCTGTAGACATGACACTCAAACTTGGCTGCGCATTGGAACCACCTGGGGCAGTTCTAAAATTCCTGAAGCCCAGGCTTCATTTCTTTTTAAAGGTCCCCAGAAAATTCCAATGTTTAGTCAAGACAAAACAGTGAACTAGAACTTGACAACTATTTCTTTTCCTTTCTGCCACCTTGCATCTGCACCAGCTTTTCCCTTTGCCTGAGTGCATCTCCTGTTCTATACTGAACTCTCATTTACCCTTCAAAATTCAGCTCACGCTCTCGTTATGCTAGGAACATCTCGGTATGCCAGAAACTTTAGCGCGCTGCTTGTACTCTGCTAGTTTGACATGTGGAGTGCAAGAGGGGACACGCTACTCTAGGGGTCTGAAGGGATAGAAAGCCAAAGGGAACTCGTGAGAACTGGCAACTTCTCAGCGTGGGGCTGACCAGGGCGCAGCACGGGGAGGGGCCGATCTGCAGGGCCAGGCTCACCTTCTGGTCTGAATTTGGCCCCGCCTGGCGATACACCCCGGAGCCGTAGGCGAAAGCCAGGCTCAACTCCTCAGGGAAGTGAGACAGGATCTTGCGGAAGGTCACCCCCGAGCTCTGCAGCGCCTGCAGCGCCATGGGGCCAAGGCTGAGACCCTTGGCGCAGCAGGGAAAAAAGACAACTTGGCGGGGAAGAAATACTGGGACAGGTAGCCTACGGTGGGGAAATGGAAGCAGGGGACCGCCCAAGGGGAGAAGGCTGAGTGAAGGGTAGGACTCCGAGGACTGCAGCAGCGGACGAGTGTGAAGCCAGGCCACAAAACCTAACCGGGCGATGCTCTGCTGAACTGCGGAGGTACCAGCCGGTCGTCCGCCCCTAGCCACGCCTCCTGCACGCACACGCTGCTCAAAGACGCAAGAGAAGGCGCTCGCCTGCGTGTGGGGACAGCGAGGGCTTCGCAGAGACCCCTGGTGGCCGGAGGAGTGTGCTGCAAGCTGAAAGACGAACTGCGACTTGGGCCAAAGGGCCCAGCAGAGCGTCAGCCAACTACATTGCTCTTCAACCTTAAAAAGCCTTTTTTTGTCATTCTCTCCCCAGCCCACATTTTCAGAAATGATTACAAAATCGTGTGTGTGTGTGTTGCAGGAGATTTTAAAAATGAGGCAAACCCCACATAATATAGAATTAACCATTCTGAAATGTGCAGTGGCATTTAGTATATTCACAGCCTTATGCAACCATCGTCTCTATCTGGTACCAAAATTGCAGATTTGGGAGATTTAGAAAAACACATTTCTACCATCCAGAGCTTACCACAGTTAAGATTTGGCTGTGATCTCTTCCTATCAAAGCCCTTTCAAACACAATGATGGATGTCAGAGGGCTCCCTAAATGATCAAAGGATACACAGAGGGTCTCTAGTATTTGCATTTAACCTTTTTGCAGTAGTGATTGGTCTCGCAAAGGGCTGTGAACTAATACAAGATCCCGAGCTCCTGGTGGGGCACAGTAGCTCAAGCCTGTAATCTTAGCACTTCGGGAAGCCAAGGCAGGTGGACCACTTGAGCTCAGGAGTTCAAGACCAGCCTGAGCAAGAGAAGACTTCATCTCTACTAAAAATAGAAAAACTAGCTGGGCTGGGGGTGGGCACCTGTAGTCCCAGCTATTGGGGAGATTGAGACAAAAGGATCACCCCAGCCCTTGGGATTGTGGTTGCTGTGAGCTATGATAATGTCATGGCACTCTACCCAGGGTGACAGAGTAAGACTCTGTCTCAAAAAAGGGGGGGGGGGCAGCACCTGTGGCTCATAAGTAGGGCACCAGCCCCATATACCAAGGGTGGAGGGTTCGAACCCGGCCCTGCCAAACTGCAACAACAACAACAAAAAAATAGCCAGGTGTTGTGGCGGGTGCCTATAGTCCCAGCTACTCAGGAGACTGAGCCCAGGAGTTGGAGGTTGCTGTGAGCTGTGATGTCATGGAACTCTACCAAGGGTGATAAAGTGAGACTCTGTGTCTAAAAAACAAACAAACAAACAAACAAAAACTTCTCTGACATAGTAGGCTTCTGAGACTTTATGAGTAATGTCAACAGAAAAGAAGGCATACTCTGTAAAATAATTCAAAGAAGTTTATTATGAGCCTAATTTGAGGACTATGACCCTAAGCCAAGAAATCTTAAGCAAGTGGACTCGCTGTGACGGGGTAACAGTTTGGTGTTATACATTTCAGGAAAACAGGAATTATGGGTTAAGTCATAAATCAATACATTTAAGGCATACATTGGTTTGGCTGGAAAAGGTGGGACATCTCAAAGAGGGAGCCACAGATTGTAAGTAGGTTTAAAGATTCTTCAGTTGATAATTGCCTGAAAGAGGCTCTAACAGACTAGGAGTCAGTGAAAAGGAATGCTTGCATTAGATGAGGGTCTGTTAATCAGAGACAAACTACAGGACATAAACCCTGTATGTGGTTTGCCGTGTATATTGAGGACCTGTAGGTATATTTTGCAAAGCCTTAGGACTGTTAATAAGCCACAAAGTACCTCTCTAAGAAGGGAGGGGGAGATGATGAGGCATGTCTGATCTCTTCTCTTGGCTAGCAACTCAGTTTGGGGGGATTCCCTTGGCCAAGAGGGGTCCAATCAGCTGGCCTCTGGGGGGAGCCTTAAGATTTGTAGTTTACAGTAATATCTAGCACATAGGTAATGTTGGCACATTTTCACATGCATTTTTCATGGATTCCCCTCTGATGTCCCTAGGGAGGAGGTCGTCACCTCCATTTTACAGATGAAACAGCTAAGGTTTAGAGCGGTAAAGCCATGTGCTAGGATCACATCAGCCTGTAGCAAAACTAGAGCTAGAACCCAGGTCTGGTTCTACCGCAGGCATTGTTTCTACATTTCCACTCTGTCCTTGAAGGGTTGTGAGCAGGGCCTATGTGGATCAAATGTCAGCCTGAATTGGAATGGGGAGACCAATTAGGGAGTCAGCAGGGACCAATCAGGGAATCAGCAAACAGAATTAATTCTGCAAAGCCGCTTTTGTGGGGAAAATACGCACCTGTAGAGAGTCAGCGCCAGGTCTTCCTTGTCCAGACTGAGGAAAGAAAAAGGTTTGAAGGAAACATTTACCGTCCATTCTTTCTGAGGGCTGCTTCCTCTGAAGTTCAAGAGACCACTCTTGCTAGCCAGGCCTCCTCTTCTCTCCCTTTTCCATCCTGTTTTTTTTTGAGACAGAGCCTCAAGCTGTCCCCCTGGGTAGAGTGCTGTGGCATCTCAGCTCACAGCAACCTCCAACTCCTGGGCTCAAGCGAGTCTCCTGCCTCCGCCTCCCAAGTAGCTGGGACCACAGGTGCCCCCACAAC